CTGCACCCTCTCCAATCTGGGACCCCTTGGGGAATGTCCGAATGCCAGTTTCGGACATCCCTCTCACAATCTGGGACTGCTGGCTCCTAACTGCTCGCCTGCCTGCCTGATTGCCCTTAACTGCTCGCCTGCCCCCTAACCGCTCCCCTGCCGACCCGATCGCCCCCAACTGCCCTGCCCTGCCAGCCATCTTGTGGCGGCCATCTTGTGATGACGTGGGACAGCCATCTTGTGACAACATGGGGTGGTCATCTTGTGACATGGGGCGGCCATCTTTTGATGATGTGAGGGCTTGACAGTCACCTAGGCTTTTATTAGTATAGATGCTCAAACAAAGATCTGCTTTAGATGGAAGGGGTTGGAACAGCATGTAGCAAGGCTGTTAATAAACTATTTTTGGATGGAGATTGCACATTTATCTGTTAAATAGAATACCTCAACTCTTCTTTTAAAGAGAAATAACAGTTTAAGTTTGTTTTTTATTTTTACCTAATTGCCTAAAAGCAAATACCAATGGCTGACCTCAGTGTATGAAACAAAGGGTCAGTATGATATGTTTTGCTTTTAATCAGCTATTTTGCACTTAAAGTGAAAATTTTAAGTGTTTGAAATAAGTAATGTCTAAAAATAAAAATTTAAGTTTACAAAGACTGCATAAAAATTATATTAGGTTAAGTTTAAAAATATGAAATTATAGACACATAATTACAATACAAAAGATAGTTGAAGAATAAGAGGCTTGAAGGAAGTACACCATAAAATGCAAAAAGTGCTTTTTTGATGACTCTGGATGATTATGTTTTCTTCTGCTTTTGACCATATTCTAATTTTTCTTATAGGATTGTGTATTACTTTTCTACTTAAAAATGATCAGATCAAAGTGGAGGGAAAACTGTACCACCAGGACCAAGAAGTATTCTTTCTTGAAATGTCCAAGCCTGTTGCATATCAGCCCAAAATAATGCTCAGTTCAATATCCTGAACTTTGACATATCCCTTTAGCTATCCCTTCAGATGGTAGTAACAGCAGCAAAAACAGAACACAAGCTTCAAGATGGCAGAATAAACACATGCATTTACCACCTGCCCTTCAAGGACCAGTTGAAATAAACACAAACAGCCCAGAGAAATAAGCCCTGTAACACTGAAAAGAATAAATGAGGTCACCAACAAATAAGGTTTCAAAATTTCATAAAAGACATAAGGAACAGATGGGCCTGGGTGGCATGGCTCAGTGGTTGAGCATTGACCCAGGAACCAAGAGGTCGCTGGTTCAATTCTTGGTCAGGGCACATGCCCGGGTTGGAGGCCCGATCCCCAATGGCAGCTAATCAATGATTCTCTCTCATCATTGATGTTTCTTTCTCTCTCTTCCGCTCTGAAATCAATAAAATATATATATATATTTTTAAAAGAAACAGATGAGATTTGGTTGAAGGATAAAATAGTGAAAGCTGCTGCCTAGAACTTGTTATCAGGGGCTGGGAGTCTATCTGCCTGATGGAACCTGAAGCTGGGCTCAGAGCCAGCTGGTATACTGTGTGCGGGACTGGTGTAAGAGGTAAAAACAGAGAGCTTACTTGAAGCTCTACATACAGAATAACTAACACTTGCTACCACCATTCCTTCTGCCACAGCCCCAAGCACAAGGCAGAGCCAAGATTTGCCTCCAGCTAAAATATTGAATAGATATTCCCTAAAGAAATCAAACTGTTTGGAAAAAGCAAAAGCTTCCAGTGTGAATAGTGTCCTAGATGAAGCCCTTCTCATTCTGGTATCTGGAAGGCTTATAATCAGTCAACCAGCTCCCTATGGGCCATCCTAAGGCCAAGCCAGTCAGTTATAGATCCCCTGTCTCCACCCCTGCCCCCCACCTACCCAAACACAAAGATTCCCAGTCTAAATCCTCACTCAAGAAAGAGATCTAGCCGAAACCGGTTTGGCTCAGTGGATAGAGCGTCGGCCTGCGGACTGAAAGGTCCCAGGTTCGATTCCGGTCAAGGGCATGTACCTGGGTTGCGGGCACATCCCCAGTGGGAGATGTGCAGGAGGCAGCTGGTCGATGTTTCTCTCTCATCGATGTTTCTAACTCTCTATCTCTCTCCCTTCCTCTCTGTAAAAAATCAATAAAATATATTTAAAAAAAAAAAAAAAAAAAAGAAAGAGATCTAACAGGAAAACTGTCTTTCTTACGTAGAAAAAGGTATGAAATAGAATATATGATTTGGTCTTTCTTACATAGAAAAAGGTATAAACGAGAATATATTATTTGGTCTGATTAAATATATTTAATTGAGTATAATTTAATTAAGTACTTTCACATTTTCCTATAACCATAGTAAATACAGTTCTTGGCATAAAGACACAGACTTTGGAGTTTAAAACATCCCCAATTGCAAGATTAAATAAAGGGAGTAATATTTAAATAACAATAATGATGCAAATGCTATTCAATGATTTTCAAATTTTAGATCAACTATGGACCAAGTATAGAAGAGAGGTTATGCTGTTTGAAGGTTGCTAATATATAGCTAGGAAAATATATAGCTAGGAAAATATATAGCTAGGAGAAACTAGAATTTTGGTCAAGGTAGGGAAAGAAGAGAGGTGGAATAAAGGAAAGGAGTACTAATTGAGGTTTAGATATATTAAAATTACAAAAGTAACAATAGAAAACATTAATTTGGGTAAATATCAAACATGAAGAGGAAATAAAAATGGGGATGGAAACAGTATAAGTGTATTTAATCCCAATTTTTCATCTTAAGGAATTAATACACAAACTGATAAATTTAATAAATCAAGTTGATAAATCAGAGATTACAGATATAAGCATACCTTCTAAAATCCTAAAATAACCAGGATAGTGAAAACGAGTTAGTAGAGAAACTAACCAGGAAATATAACTGGGGATAAGGAATAAATGGGGCAAACTTGCTAGTCATCCTAAATTACTATTATTTGCCATATTCCCATTTGGTTACATTACTTTAATAAAAATATATTTTAAAGCTAAATATGTAAATTTATTCTGGAACCCCAAAGTATTTTAAACTACTCAACCCATATCAAGTCTTCTTGTCTTCCACCATGCTTTCATCCAGTGCTCTCCCTGACTCCTCTATGCTTTGCTTCCTCAGTTTATTACCACTCTCACTACGATGTTTGATTTGCCTTCTCCTCTCTCCTCTTCTGACTTAAGCCAAAACAGGTCTTCCCTATCCTAGACCAAACAAAAAATTTCACTTGACTGGAATGTCTGCATCATTCCTCTTCTGTTTCTCTTCTTCTTTTCACTTTACCATTTTTAAAAGTAGTCTTTATTACCCTCTGAAATCCGGCTTTTAAAGTGTAATGATGCTTTTACAGTCCTCATTCTACTTAATATTTTATTCAAGCATTTCACACGGAGCCTTTCTTTTTACCCTTTTTTCTAAGGCAGGATGAGAATGGAGAGGGAGTGAATTACCTCACAAGAACACTGATCCAAAGAACACCTGGGCTGGCATGAAGTGTTCCAATTACAAATGCATCATTGCTTTGCTCAAGAATATTTAATCTGCCTTTTGGCACCAAAAGAAATCCAAGTAAACAACTAGAAACAACCAGCCTCTCAACATGAGTATTGTGATATTTATTAGCCTTTCATAATCATATTAATGTGCATGAAGACTAATAGAATACAAACCTGAGTTAGGGAAACATTCTCAAGATAATTGAGTCCAAAGCTCAACATGACCATTGCCTCAGTATAGTTATCCTATAGTAAACTCAACATTCCCCACTAAAAACAGTAAATATCTTACAAATGAAGAGAAGAAATAAAATAAGGAAACCAATGAAATTTACTAGTAGACAATATCCTGGTTTTCTTTAAAATATAATAAATTTTGACTGTTAAAAGTATATTAACCCCTAGAGTGCTGGGGAGCGCGATTGCGCTCCTCCTGCAGTGTCACTATTAGATGCTAGTAGTTCACTCTTTATTGCAATTCATAATTTTTTTCCTAAACTACTGTAAAATCAGCAAAAATGCCTTGGCAATTTTAGCATAGTTCCTAGGCTATTGGTTGGCACTCAAAGGGTTAATTTGTTGCATCAGGTCATTCACATCTATTTGCGAGATATAGGGCACACTTTGGGTAAGATAACTGAATGGGAAAGACCCATAATAAAGCATTAGTTGTGAGCCTCAAAGCTGCTGGGAGAAAGAAAAAAACTAATGTAATCATAGTTATGAAAAAACTAGCTGACTTTATTATCAATGTCAAACAAGTCTTTAAATCAATTAAAATTTATTTAATGAAGTATAACTTACTTTCACATTTGTCTGTAACCACAGTAAATGCAATTCTTGGCATAAAGACACAGCCTTTGGGGTTTAAAACATCCCCAATTGCAAGATCACATAAAGGAAACTCCCATTATTGTTTATGTGATAGTGGATTCGTTAACCAAATTAAAATAATTATACTATGTAGAATAAAATAAAATGGAAATAATTTACTCATGAAATTCATATTTAAATCATCTTTATTTACAAAATACTATCCTGAGAATGTAGTTCCATAAGCTCCAATTTGAGCATAAGTATAGTCACTTAAGTAACAGCTGTTACTTAAACTGAAAATGAGAGAAATCAAAATTACTTTTGATAGTCATGTATCATAGAAATGTACACTTGAAACCTATATAATCTTATGTCACCCCAATTGTTTTAATTAAAAAAATAAAATAAAGAAAAATAATTGCTTTTGAAGAGAGACCAAAAATATTGTCAAGTTTCTTGTGGTTCTGGATGTTCACTCAGTAGTAGGCTCATTTGAAGGTGGACTCAACCCTGATGGGACCTCACTTCTACTTTCAGGATGTGAGGAAGGGGGTGGAGGGAAAAATCCAGCTCTTGGGGGAAGATAATGAGGAAAAGCTCTCGGTGAGTAGACATTTCTCACTGTTCAAAAAGATTAATAAAAGACATTTTTTAACTTTAACCACCTGTACTGAAGCCCTAATAAATCATTAGCTTATAACTTCCAATCTTTACATTCAAAAATTGACAGCAGAATTATTACTTGATCTAACAAATTTTTACACCATTGAGAAAAAACATACTTTCTTCAACTACACATGATTAAAGGGAATATCATAAATTTTAGACCCAAATTTTGTCTTATTGAAAATCTAACATCTTAACACTTTTAAAAAAGAATTACTTCAAACTATACAAACTTACTTTTAAAAAGTTTCCATGTAATACAATTTTCACTGGACTGAAAATTCAGAGTAGTAATTCCCAGTTCCAACTTGATATTATCATAAAACATTTACAGCTATATCAGAGACTGTCTTAAAATTCCCCAAAAGAAGTTAATTTTAATTCACACCTTAACATACAGGAGGAATGATGGAAGGCAATGATCACACCATGAAATAATAGGCTTCTGCCTAGTGTTTGGTAATTATGTGCTTATTCTATAGAAAACTACAGTTCTAAATGGCAATGTATAGATACAAAAGCAATAAATTATTCCATTTTTCTGATGTGAGGCTGTGAAAGAATTTCAATAAATTCAACAATTAGTCCAAACACATTTTAAGTTTTAAATGAGAACTTTAAAAAGTGACTTTAAAAATGTTAGCCAGTAATTTTAATGCTAAAATATAAAATGTAATTATTTTTACTAACTGGCATAGTAACCAGTTTCTATCAAATAAGATACAAATAATTTCAGTCTTAACATCAGACTGAAGCAAAAAGCCAATGATTTTCTTGACAAGTGAAATACAGAAATTCTTCCACAGTATTGAGATGAATCAAGCTGAAACTCATTACAGTCTATGATGGTTGGCTGCCTTCCCAATACTGAAAAGTAATGGTATACTCACAGAATGTGAGAAAGGTTTTCCTCCACTGTATTACTACATGTATAGGAAGTAGACTTAATATATCTTATTTACTCTATAAAACACACATTAATTTAAAAAAAAAAAAAAAGCATACTTGCAAATGGAGGTGGTGGTGGACCGGGAAAGTCTCCTGGAGGAAAATAATCATGGGAAGCGCCATACATGCTTCCCGGAAGTGGAGGAAAAGGAGGGCCTCTTCTCAGGTACGGGCCCCTTGCATCCATTGGAAACAATGGGCCTCTGACTGGAGGAGCAAAGCCAGGGCCAGCTGCTTCACTTTTGGTGGGGAGAGATGCATCAGGCACATTTAAATTCTATAACAAATTGACATATGGCAGTCACTAAAAATAAGAGCAAAATTTACAACCATTTTCCTAAAAATCTTAGGCTTAGAAAGCCTGAAGCACCTAGGCAGAAAGTACTTCATGATTAAGTCTTAAAAAGCTCCAGAAAAAAGACTGTTTTTTATCTGATGGATTTTTGCCATCCAAACATTTTATTAACTCAACAGAACCAACAAAGTAATAGTCTGACTAAAGACATAATAGAATAGACCAAGAATACAAAATATACATTCTTTTATCAAGTACCTACTGAAAAAAGATGCTTATATTTGTATTTTCAACATAAGGTGGCCAAAACCAAAATTGTAAACATAGCAACAAAAGTGTACTTTAAAACATTTAAATACAAGTCCAAGAGGGAAAATCCAAACTCTTGTTTAACTATAGTACAATAACTCAAGCCTCTTGTTTGTAGACACGTTACCGTCTGTAAGTTGTATTTTCTCACCATCAGGTACGTTCCAGAAAAGAAACAGCTATAATGCTAAGTAGGAAGTCCACATATTTGTCAAAATAAATGAAACTGCTTTATATATAAAAATAGATTCCTAGCTAAATTTCTATTCTAGTAAACCAAGAGATTAGAAGGCTCTTAAATAATGAATAAAATTCCATTTTCAGTACTTACACCAAGATCGTCTTTGCTATCATTTCCACTGGATTCCATTTCTGAAGACTTTGGCCCATCTAGACATAAAAGTTAAACTATGAAAAATACATGACTTATCACCCCATTCCTAGAATAGCTCCAGATCACAAAGGATGTTGACACTTTCCCACTCCCCTTGTCAGCACATAAACCAGCTTGACACCAGCACCCTGTATCAGGGCCACAAGAGCAGCTTGAGGTCCCTGGAAATTTCGGTAGACTCGGCGTTCTACAAAGGCACACGGCAGCTTGTCCCGAGGCAATCCTGCCACAAGTAGCATCATGAGGAGACTTCTAGGAAGTAGCCTTCCTATCCCTACATTCTTTCTTTCTTTCCTTCCTTCCTTCCTTCCTTCCTTCCTTCCTTCCTTCCTTCCTTCCTTCCTTCCTTCCTTCCTTCCTTCCTTCCTTCCTTTTCTCCAGCCTTACTTCCTTTCTTACCTCTCTCTCTCCTTTGCTCCTTCTTTTCTTCCCTCTTATCCATCCTTCTTTATTCCTCCATCAAGAAGCACAGACTAGTGCCCAGGCCAGTTTGGCCCAGTGGATAGAGCGTCGGCCTGTGGGCTGAGGGGTCCCGGGTTCGATTCCAGTGAAGGGCATGTACCTCTGCTGCAGGCTCAATTCCCCATGAATTGAGCCACTGTTTCTAAATAAGTGTTCCTGAACTATGTTATCAAGAACTGCTTAGTCTCTGAGAACATTCCAGCCTAGATTAATCCAATTCTGATTCCACTCTTCTTACACCTGAGTTACTTAGCACTTCTGGGGGTAAAATCAACCAAAGCCGAGTACACTGGCATCACTCCAGGCTGATAGATCTCCAGCTACACTTCCAGCTGCCCTATGCCTAGTTTTGTGCGTCTTCTAAGCCGGTTTTCTCCTTCAGCAATTTCAAACCTCCATTCTCCTCAAATCTACTATACCAGTCACTTAGAAACTTCCTTAACTTTTTGTAATCAAACATATAAATATAAAAGCAACTACATTCCTATGATCTTTCCTCCTATTATAATGGAAAAGGATCCTTCTAAACAATCTATAACCCTGATTCTGTGCTCAGAATCCTTCCCCTCCAGCTTCCTCAGGGATTTTCCTCTCTCTGTTGCCTTGCTCCTCCCTTTTTGCAAGTCTTTCCCACTTATTATCTAAAAATGAGACTGCAGTCCAGCCAGCACGGCTCAGTTGTTGAGCATCAACCTATGAACCAAGAGGTCAAGGTTCGATTCACAGTCAGGGCACATGCCCGGGTTGTGGGCTCGATCGCCAGTGGGGGTGTGCAGGAGGCACCAATCAATGATTCTCTCCCATCATTGATGTTTCTCTTTCTCTCTCTTCTCTCTCTCTCTCTCTCTCTCTCTCTCTCTCTCTCTCTCTCTCTCTCTCTCTCTCTCTCCCCTTCCTCTCTGTAATCAATAAAAATAGTTTTTAAAGTGAGACAGAAAAAGAGAATTCCCCTACAGCTAGCTACCTCTCCCCTTAACAATCAAGAATTGTTCTATATATATTGTTCAGAATTCCTCCCTTTTTTTTTTCTCATTTTACTGGAATCAATTTGCAACATCAACTATTCTATTGAAACTGTTTTCCCCAAAATCAAAAAGTCTTTTTTTGCAAATTAAAATAGACCCTTTAGTACTTATGTTATTTCTCACCCTTGTTGACTACTCCCTCCCTGTTTATTTTTTAAAATATTTTTGTATTGATTTCAGAGAGGAAGGAGAGGGGGAGAATGAAACATCAATGATGAGAATCTTTGATTGGCTGCCTCCTGCACAGCCCCTACTGGGGACTGAACCCAAATCCTGGGCATGTGCCCTGACCGGAATGGAACCGTACTTCCTGGTTCATAGGTCGATGCTCAACCAGTGAGCCACACCAGCCAGGTACTCCTCCCTCTTTAAATCCTCTCGGTCTTTAATTTCTGTGTTACCATCCTTCCTTCTATCCATCTCTTCTTTCTAGCTGCTGCTTTTCAGTCTCTTTGGTGGAATCACTACCTTGGACCATCCTTAGATGGTGATCTCCTCAGAGTTCCACCTCTGGCCTATCCAAATTCTCTCCTTGAGAAACCCCCTCTACTGCCACAGCTTTAATTTGATGTGTACTACTGCTGACTTCCAGATGTGCAATTCCGATCTAGCTACTTCCCTTAGGACTTGAAAGCTTGAACTGCCAATCTGAATATTCATGCACATATATTACAGGTGCTACTAATTTTGTAACTTCAAACTGTAGCTTACAATCTTTATGTCAAATTTCCTGCTGTTCCTTGTTCCTTGTCTCAGAACAATGAATGGCCCAGATGACACAGCCAAGATTCCTTCTTCTTCACTCCCACATGCCTTCAATCCTAAATCCTCCCAATTCTATTTTCTCTGTTCAGTCCCATTTATCTATCCCCTCTGCTAATCACCACCATCACTCATGTAGATTCCTATCATAAGTCTCCTAAAAAGTTACCCTGTCTCCAATCTTAATCACTCCCTCCAAATCTATTCACCATAATACAATCACAGTAATTCCTCTAAAATGCAGGTCTGATTATATTATTTCCCTGTTTAAAATCCTTTAATGTATTTATCCTGTGAATAAGGTCCACATTTCTGAACAGGTTTGCAAGACCCTGAAAACCCTATGCACTACTGACCTCTTCACCACTTGATTCAATATTCCTGGACTCACACTCGATGTTGCAGCCATAACTTACTTAGCACTCTTACTTCTAAATCTTTAAAGATGCTATTCTCTTCTAAATCATTATCACCATGCTTTTGGTCCAGCTAATTCCTCCTTTAGTTCTTAGCTTACTTCCTCCAAGATTGTCTCGACTGTCCCATGCTCAAAATACTAACGCTTCATCTTGGTGAGTCTCCATATGCTCTCATAACATTATGTACTCATTATTTTTGTTACTGTCATGCAACTGCTATATACCTTTGCTAAACCTCAAGGTGTAAGGAATGCTGAGCTCCTGCCCACCCCTGAAATAGAGCAACTTCCACAATGCCTGCCATACAGTAAGCATTCTATATACATTTAGTGCATCAATGGCTGGGTCAATTACCCTCTCATTTCAATAAAGTATAGGGATCAAGACCATGGCTTAACTCAGACAGACATGGGTTTAAATCCTGCCTCAGTAACTTCCTATCCTGAGATCTTTTGTACCTTTTGGAGCCTCAGTTTCTTTACCTACAAAGTGAGGGCACTAGTGTCAACTTCATAGGTTCATTGTGAAAATTAAATGAGATAATTTACTTTCATTCAATGAATGCTTACTGAGCACTAGCGTTAGTCAATGTGTTTCCACCATGTCTCTCACCATTCTCCTTTGTGTAAATACCAAATACTGACAAAGCAATGGTAATATGTTACGTTGATATAAAACTTTTCTGCTCACAAAACACTTCCACACACATTAACTCATTTAGTCCTCATGAGGCCTTGTCAAGTGATTAATATCTCAGTTTTACAGCCATTAATCAAATGACTCATGCTGTTATTTTTCTCTTTTTGTTTGGCTTCTATGCTGTTCATTATTATTAGTGCAGACCCCCACCTCCCAATTAATTTTTCAAATTCCCTCAACAGCAGCTCAAATGGCACCTCCTTCATGGACTTTTCCTTGATCCTTCAACTAGATGAGCATGAACACAGCATATTCTCTAATGAGACTTACTATTCTCACCAGTATTAGAGATACATGTCTTTCTTCCCTATTTAATTATTAATATAGTTATAATAAACTGTACCTTATTATAATTATACTAGGAGCCCAGCCCACGGTTTAAAATCTGGCAGCGCTGCCCACCCTCCGATCTGGCCCTGCCTCCCTCTCCGGCCCTTGAAGCAGCTGCGGCCACTGCTGATCAGGCCCTCCCCCAGCACAGGTGCGCGGAGGCCCCTGCTGCCCTGCCCCCAACGCTGCACACCCAACGTCCTCTTAATGAGCATATTTCTCTATTATATATATAATTTGCAATGTCATGCAGAGCACCTTCTAAACAATAAGCATTTAAATATTATCTGCTTAGGGGAGAAAACCAAGATGGCGGCATAGGTAAACACCGGAAATTGCTGCCTCACACAACAACTTCAAAAAAACAACTACAAGACAAAACGGACATCATCCAGAACCACAGGAAGGCTGGCTGAGTGGAAATTCTACAACTATAAGGAAAGAGAAAAGCACACTGAGACTCACAGGAGGTGCGGTGTGGAAATAAAGTGCAGAGGTACGGAGGTGCATGCGGAAAGGGCTGGCAACTGAGGACACGGTTGTCTTTTTCAATTGGGAGGGAGACACAAGCTCCTGACTGTTACGGGCGAGTCTCTGGGGACCCAGACTCATACAGGGAGAAACTGGACTGTCTGGCATCAGGCAGAACTCAAGGGCGGCTTTCTCTCAGAGGCACTTGCAGCGATTACCTCGGAACAGTGAGACCCGGCTCCTCTTAGGGCAGGGCTGAGGATCAGCCATAGCTGTTTGCTCCACCCTGTTGATTTCCTAAGACCCCGCCCCACCCAAGCTGTGTGCAGAGGCTTTTGCATATGAATGGGCTGGCCCTTTGAGATCTAAAATTACCTAACAAACTGCAGCTGGGTCAGAGAGACCCAGAACTTCCAAAAAGAAGGCCCAAGGCCGCACAGCTGCTTGCATTGCTTCACAGCTGGGCCTCATCTAGGCAACTCCAAACTCCAAACAAAGAAAAGGAATCTGCAGATCTCTCCATAGCTCCTGCTGGGTTGCCTCAGGCAGAGGCTAAATTAGCACCTCCTTAGAGATCCAAGAGCCAGTATACCCAGTGGTCAGAGTGGACCATACAGATTACAACTCCTCAGATCCATAAGGGACACACTCAGGGGGCAGACTCAGCAAGCACCAAAGCCCCACTGAAGCAAGTCTTGCCCCAGAAGAGTGTCTCCAGCACAGAAGTTCTCCCACCATAACCACAGCTGATTCTCACAGCCAATTGGCCTGGAGGTCAATTCCTCCCAGGGATACCTACAACAATCAAGGCTTAACTACAACAAGACTGTGCACAAAGCCCACAAAGGGGTGCACCAAGAGTGTCCACCTCAGGTAATTGGGGAGGCTGAGCCACTGGGCCCTATAGGACACCTAGCACAGAAAGCCACTCTACCAACACAGGGAAGCATAAAAAATGCGGAGACAACGAAACAGGTCACAAATGACAAAAATGGAGGAAAGCAAACTACTGGATATAGAGTTCAAAACCACACTTATAAGGTTTTTCAAGAATTTTCTAGAAACCACCGATAAATTTAGTGAGACCCTCGAGGATATGAAAAAGGACCAACTAGAAATTAAGTATACACTGACTGAAATAAAAAATATTATTATACAGTGACCCAACAGCAGACTAGAGGATCCCAAGAATCAAGTCAAAGATTTGGAATACAAAGAAGCAAAAAACGCCGAACCGGAAAAACAAAAAGAAAAAAGAATCCAAAAATATCAAGATAGTGTAAGGAACCTCTGGGACAACTTCAAGCGTACCAACATCCGAATTATAGGGGTGTCAGAAGAAGAGAGAGAGCAAGATATTGAAAACCTATTTGAAGAAATAATGACAGAAAACTTCCCCTACCGGGTGAAAGAAATAGACTTACATGTCCAGTAAACACAGAGAACCCCAAACCAAAGGAATCCAAAGAGGACCACACCAAGACACATCATAATTAAAATGCCAAGGGCAAAAGACAAAGAGAGAATCTTAAAAGCAGCAAGAGAAAAACAGTTAGTTACCTACAAGGGAGTACCCATACGACTGCCAGCTGATTTCTCAACAGAAACTATGCAGGCCAGAAGGGAGTGGCAAGAAATATTCAAAATTATGAATAGCAAGAACCTACAACCAAGATTACTTTATCCAGCAAAGCTATCATTCAGAATTGAAGGTCAGATAAAAAGCTTCACAGATAAGAAAAAGCTAAAGGAGTTCATCACCACCAAACCAGGATTATATGAAATGCTGAAAGGTATCCTTTAAGAAGATAAATAATTTGATGAACAGAATAAACTGGTGAATATAATAGAATCAGGGACATAGAAAGGGAGTGGACTGACAATTCTCAGGGGAGAAGGGGTGTGGGAGGTGCGGGAAGAGACTACACAAAAATCATACACCTATGGATGAGGACAGTGGCAGGGGTAACGGCAGAAGGTGGGGTGGGAACTGGGTGGAGGGGAGCTATGGGGGAAAATAAGAGGAACAACTGTAATAATCTGAACAATAAAGATTTAATTTTAAAAAAATAATAAATAAATAAATATTATGTGCTTAATCAAATATTGTTCAAATACCCCAAAAAATGAACATGTAAAAATTTTTAAATAGCACTACTTTAATTATACATATACTAGAGGCCCGGTGCACGAATTCGTGCACCAGTGGGGTCCCTCGGCCTGGCCTGCGGGATCGGGCCGAAACCGGCTCTCTGACATCCCCTGAGGGGTCCCAGTTTGCGAGAGGGCGCAGGCCAGGCCGAGGCACCCACCGGTGCACAATTGGGGCCGGGGAGGGACCACAGGAGGGCTCCAGGGTATGTCCAGCCCATCTAGCTCAGTCCCGATCGGCTGGACCCCAGCAGCAAGCTAACCTACCAGTCAGAGCATCTGCCCACTGGTGCTCAGTGCATGTCATAGCGACTGGTCGACCGGTCGACTGTCTGCCCCCTGGTGGTCAGTGTACGTCATAGCGAGCAGTTGAGGGGCCTTAGTATATCATTAGCATATTACACTTTGATTGGTTGAACGGACGACCAGACACTTAGCATACTAGGCTTTTATTATATAGGATTTTCATTCTATTAAGCTTGAATTAATGGGGGAAAACAATTTCAAAAACCTAACAAAAATAATTCATTTAATTATAACTAACTAGAGGCCTGATGCATGAAATTCGTGCAAGGGTAGGCCTTCCTTCCCCGGGCTGCCGGCACTGACTTCCCTCTGGCACCCAGGATCCGGACTTCCCTCTGGCTGCCAGCAGGCACCCGGGACCCAGGTTTCCCTCCGGCCACCGACAGGCACCCAGGACCCGGGCTTTCCTTGCAGCCCTGGCTTCGTCTGGAAGTTTGTCCGGAAAGACATCCGGTCTAATTAGCATATTATGCTTTTATTATTATAGATAATAGAAATCCAGGCCACAGGTCTACTTCTTTGCTTATTATTCAAAAAAACTTTTCTAAAATAATAAACACTTCAAAAAAAATAATGCCTTCCCCCCAAACATATACCCTTTCCTGAGAAAACATTTACCAATATATTTATATTAACTTTCTACTGATGTTTTAATCTTTTTATATTCTTAATGTTATATACTTCTGATGGATACCTTGGATATATATGTAATATATATATTTCCTAACTCCAGTGGGTTGCTTTGAGGTGGTTTAAGGAAAAGAATGCCTGAAAAATAATAAGTTCCTCATTAAATGTTAGTTAAATCTAAGTACAAAATGTTTAAATAAGATAATTGATTAGACCAGCAACAGAGCATATACTCAAATTATTTTTCTGGTGTATTTTCACATATCCATTCACATAAGCCTAATTTCCCTGATTACTAAACAGGATATATGTAAGTGTACTGAAAAAATTAGAAAATCATGAAACAGAGTAAAATTTTCCTTCATAGGTTCACAGAGTAAACCTATGGTGCTCAAACCAATCACCAAATATATGTAGATGCTACAGATGTGTACAAAGTAACAAGAAACATAAAAACAAGAAAGAGATTTTGGCCTTAAGGCTACCACAGATAGGAATTATATGGTCCTTTATTCAGCTTCTAGTTATTTAATTTGCCACCATTATTAAAAAGTATTTTTAATACATACACACAAGTATTTCTTACCTGCTTTATCCAGTGATGGCATATTAAAACTTCTGAGTTCTGCGGGTCCAGAGAGTCTACCAGTATTAGAATAAAATCTGTCTTGCCTTTGTGGAGGAAGAGCTGGATCAGAATAAGGTTGGCCTACAAAACAAGTTTTAAAACATTCTCTTTAGAAAAAAAAATAAATCAAGTTTACTTAAGTTTAATATATTGAACGTAGAGACTTCTCTTGCTTCCTAAAAAGATAATATGGTAGACAATAGTAAAGAATTTTAGGAAAATTACATATTGCACTAAAAGCAATAACTATTTGCTTTTGTAGTAAACACAAGCATGATATGCTACACTGGATTTTAAAAGTTCATTTATAATGTGTAAATTAAAATACAGGGTGGGGCAAAAGTATGTTTACAACTGTGGATACATGAAACAGAGTTTATTATCTTTTTTTTTTTTAGAAAAGCAGGCAAGAATTTATTGACCACAACAAAAACACACTTAGGACAGTGAAACAGGGAAGGGCGTAGAATAAGCAACCGGAGAACCTAGGCTGGGCTGCTTTGGCTCACTGGGAAGTCAGGAAAGGCGGCCTTGGAAACAGGTTCAGGGGTCTAGCCCAGGATGAGCTACTGCTGCCCACTGCTCCACTTACTGCAAGTCTCATGGGGTCCCTTGAAGTTTAGGAGATAAGTGCTAATGGGGAAGAAGATGGAAGGGAAAGGCATGGCATGCTACCTGAAGGGAGAGTGCCCAGAGTTGATTCTTGTATTATTATTATTTACTAGAGGCCCAGTGCACGAAATTCGTAGGGATCAGGCCTAAACCAGCAGTCAGACATCCCTCTCGCAAACTGGGACCGCTCACTCCTAACCACTCGCCTGCCTGCCTGCTCACCCCTAACTGCTCACCTGCCTACCTGCTTACTCACCCCTAACTGCTCGCCTGCCTGCCTGCTCGCCCCTAACCGCTTGCCTGCCTATGCTTGCTCACCCCTAACTGCTCGCCTGCCTGCCTGCTCAGTGTGCGTCATAGTAACCAGTCGTTCTGGTCGTTCTGCCGTAACAGTCGCTTAGGCTTTCATATATATAGATCAGGGGTCCTCAAACTTTTTAAACAGGGGGCCAGTTCACTGTCCCTCAGACCGTTGGAGGGCCAGACTATAGTTTAAAAAAAACTATGAACAAATTCCTATGCACACTGCACATATCTTATTTTGAAGTAAAAAAACAACATGGGAACAAATACAATATTTGTATTTGCATGTGGCCCACGGGCCGTAGTTTGAGGACCCCTGATTATTGTACTATTTTCCATACAACTGTAAACCTACTTTTGCCCCACCCTGTATATGAACAGAATTTAGTTATATATATTCATTTAATTTTAAATTTAATAATAGAAGTGAATACAACAAAATATCATAGACTTTGAAAAGATAGCTACAAGCAAAGAAAGAAAAATAGAATATTTTGTCAGTATAGCAAGATATATAACAGTACAGACAATGATAAAAGAAATGGTCACTAAAGCAGAAAGAGTACTATTCAGAGGTCATTGGTGATGACATTTTCAGAAACTTCAATATTTTGGAATTTAGCATCCTTCCAAAACTAAAGGGGAAGATGTCTGATGCAATAGATGAATAGAAGGTTCATAATGCTCAGATTAAGGACATTTGGATCGATGCAATATTGGGCACAGACTCTGAATCAGGAGCTTCAACAGCCACCCTACTTTGTCCCCAGGAGTTAAGATGACAAAATGGTCATTCCTGGGTTCTTATCATCATTCATGAAATAAAACAGGTAGTCTATCTCATCTTTGATAGGTGATGGTAGACTTTGGATAGATTAGGTTTGCACTTGCCCAAGTCCAAAAATATGGGAAGGTCAAAGATGGTGAATTGTATGACTCTCTCCTATCCTTATAGATCTGGACAAAGAGCCCCAAACTACCTTTCTTTTTTTTCTTTTTTTTAAGTTTATAATGGTCTTTATTATCCATGAATGAGTGAGATCATGTGGTATTTTTCCTTCATTGACTGGCTTATTTCACTTAGCATAATGCTCTCCAGCTCCATCCATGCTGTTGCAAATCTAAGAGTTCCTTCTTTTTTACAGCAGCATAGTATTCCATTGTGTAGATGTACCACAGTTTTCTAATCCATTCATCTACTGATGGGCACTTAGGCTGTTTTCAGGTCTTAGTTATGGTGAATTGTGCTGCTATGAACATAGGGGTGCATATATCCTTTCTGATTGGTGTTTCTGTTTTCTTGGGATATATTCCTAGAAGTGGGATTACTGGGTCAAATGGGAGTTCCATTTTTAGTTTTTTGAGGAAACTCCATACTGTTCTCCACAGTGGCTGCACCAGTCTGCATTCCCACCAGCAGTGCACGAGTGTTCCTTTTTCTCCACATCCTCTCCAGCACTTGTCGTTTGTTGATTTGTTGATGATAGCCATTCTGACAGGTGTAAGATGGTACCTCATTGTTGTTTTGATTTGCATCTCTCGGATGATTAGGGACTTTGAGCATGTTTTCATATGTCTCTTGGCTTTCTGAATGTCCTCTTTTGAAAAGTGTCTATTTAGGTCCTTAGACCATTTTTTGATTGGATTATCTTCCTTTTGTTAAGTTGTATGAGTTCCCTATAAATGTTGGAGATTAAACCCTTATCAGTGATAACATTGGCAAATATGTTCTCCCATGCAGTGGGCTTTCTTGTTGTTTTATTGATGGTTTCTTTTGCTGTGCAGAAGCTTTTTATTTTGATGTAGTCCCATTTGTTTATTTTCTCGTTAGTTTCCAATGCCCTAGGAGCTGTATCAGTGAAGAAATTGCTTCGGCATATGTCTGAGATTTTGTTGCCTTTGGATTCTGCTAGTATTTTTATGGTTTCCCGTCGTACATTTAAGTCCTTTATCCATTTTGAGTTTATTTTTGTGTATGGTATAAGTTGGTGGTCTAGCCAAACTACCTTTCATAACTGTCCTAGGAAGTTCATAATGTGAACTCCATACAATGGTAAAGATGTCAGTCCTCATCTGACTCCGTCACATGGGACCTTACTGATATGCCTCTCTGACACAAAGCCAAGAAATCATCTGGCATCAAGAGAAAGAATTGTATTTAACTAGAGGCCCGATGTACGAAATTCGTGCAAGAGTAGGCCTTCCTTCCCCCGACTGCTGGCACCGGCTTCCCTCTGGCACCCAGGACCCAGACTTCCCTCCGACTGCCAGCAGGCACCAGAGATCCGGACTTCCATCTGGCTGTGGCAGGCACCTGGGACCCAGGCTTCCCTCGCAGCCCCAGCTTCATCTGGAAGGTCGTCCAGAAGGACATCCGGTCTAATTAGCATATTACACTTTTATTATTATAGACTAGAGGCCTGGTGCACAAAATTCGTGCGGGGGGGGGGGGTGTCCCTCAACCCGGCCTGCACCCTCTCCAATCTGGGACCCCTCAGGGGCAGTCGGACATCCCTCTCACAATCCAGGACCACTGGCTCCTAACTGCTCCCCTGCTGGCCTGATGGCCCACAAATGCCCTCCCCTGCCGTGACCTGCCTCCTCCGCCGGGACCCGCCTCATCCGCGTGAGGCAGCGGAGATGCTGGGACTGGCCTCCTCCGCGCTGCGTGGAGCCACAGGACCCCCAGGCCTCACTCTGCGGAGCGGCCACCGGGCCCCTCCTCCACTGTGCACGCAGCCATCTTCATGGTGGACTTCTTGTGGCGGCCTTCTTGTGGAACATGGCGCAAGGTGCGACGCCACCTAGGCTTTTATTATATAGGATGAGCTCCCAAGGGTTAAGGGATGTGACTTAGGAGAGAAAGATATAGATAGGCTTGAAGGCTCATTTTCTCCCCCCTTTCAGAATCTTAGCAAAGAGCTGTCTCAATGGGTCTGAATTAGCCCCAGGGGAGAAAAGACCAAGGACCAAGAACTAAACTGAGTTTTCCCTTCCTACTTCACAACATGGGATCAATTAAATGATAGAGTTGGGCAAAGGGATAAAATAAGCAAACCTGAAAACCTCACAACTCTTTCTTATTCAGGTCTCAGACACCATATCATTATATTGCTTCTAAAATACATCACCACAATATCCCCAACTTCAGAAATATAAAATTTTGCTATAAGTTTTCTATTTTATAAATCATATACCCATGGTGCCCTCTATTGCCAAAAATAATCCATTCCTTAAATCTATCAGAGCCTATTATGTACCAGGTACTAGTGATTCAACATTGATTTTGATACAGTCCATGCTCTTAATCTAATAACAGAAACACATACACACAATGTGATCAGTGCCTTAGTAAAGAGGCATACAAATAACAGGAGAGGTGGCCTATCTGATTTTGACTGAAAGAATAAGAAATGTTGTCAAAGAGGAGGTAACGCTTGCCCTGAAAGTCAGGAAGAATGAACAAGTAAACAAGGATATTCTCGTCAAACTCAAATATATATATATATATACACATACATGTACATATACACAATGTAATAAATTATGTGAAAGGCATATGACCAATGAAAGGCTAAAATACAGAAAATAGGACATAAATGATTCCTTTCTTTTTTGCTTTCTTACCTGTTTTCTACCACCTTAAAAGAAATGATCAGAAAGGAAGACTGGGAAAAGGAAAAGGATCAGGGGGGAAAAATGAATAAAGGGTGGGAATAGGTGTACAGGGCATTCTGAAGCAGTTTCATAAACTAAGCATTAGAATAAAAATCAACAGGTCTAGTTTAAACAACAACGCTGTTCAATCTCTTTTCATTCCAAAACACATCTTGGACTGCAATTGTTCCCTGAATACCTGCTTTAATAATCTGGAAAGTGGACACTAGGATATCCACTTTCACCACTATCATTCTACATAGTACTAGAAGTCCTAGCCACAGCAATCAGACTAGAAGAAGAAATAAAAGGCATCCAAATTGGAAAGGAGGAAGTACAAAACTGTCATTATTCGCAGATGACATGATAGTGTACACAGAAATTGAAGATAATATCTTTATTCCATTGTATGAAACTAGACCTAAAGACTCCACCAAAAAACTATTAGATCTAATAAATGCATTCAGCAAAGGAGCAGGATAGAAAAAATGCATTCAGCAAAGGAGCAG